CCCGGATTAAAATCTGGGAGGTAATTCGGCTATAAAGAAAACAAACATCAGTGCTTTAAGCTAATAAAATAATAACTTCTGCCTTTCTCCCTTGGTCCATAACTGACTTGAAGTGCTCTATTTTCTAGTGACATGCTATCAGTAAGCGATGTGCATCAGAAGAACTCAAATAAGATGTGAAAGGCCATATCTTTATTTTGCTATGGCTTCTCAATCCTCTTCTACAAGCCCTGCTCTTGCTATCCAGCTGAGAAATTAAAGCACACTTTGGTTAGCATTGCTCTAATTTCATACATCTGTAGTCAAATTTTAGTATTTTCATTTCAATGACTACCCAGTTCAAAACTCCCTTCCAAAGTCTCTCTGAGTTTCAAGGGATGGAGTATCGTATTTGAAGGAAAAGAGCAAGCAAGCTGACTGAAGGTCACAGAAGGCCCATGAGTGGGAGAAAGTGGAACACCCGACTTTAGAAAGTTCTCCGCTGACTCCAGCTGCAGATGTTATCCAGTCTGTGGGTGTTTTCATTCCAGTTCAGAATCCCTCTGATGCCTCAGGCATCCTGGAACAGTCTTCTGCTTTATCCATTTTCAAGATGGTGGTTGTCTATCCTGAACCTCTGGGGGTTCTTTCATGTTTATCTGATCACTATGAGGTTTGGGACAATGGAAGCATACATCTTCAGTCTGTATAGTTAAGTAATTCTACCCGCTCCACTTAGGGGTGGGGATCAAATACAAAACTTCGTGTGTGCTAGACAAGCACTCTACCATTGAGCTGTACAGCCAGCTCTGCATTTAAGAGGTTAAATCAAGCTAACAAGTAGATTAGTGAAAGGTGTCTTACAGTACAGACTTCACAAGCACACTTAAAGAATTAATTAGAAAAACACATGAAACCAAATATCATCAAGTTACCAAAGACTATTGAGTTTAAGCATGATACATACTTATAATTCTAACATTTGAGAGGTAGAGGTAGGAAGACTAAAGATTAAAAAGTAATTATATTGATATAAAATGTTAATGTGTTTTGAAGTAAATTTTATATTTATTTTTGTTTTAAATTGTATTCATTCTTTGAGAATTTTGTATGTGTTTAATTGGATTTACTTCCTCCCTCAACTCTTTCCAGATTTAACTTTTTTCCCTACCCACCCAACTTTCTATTCTCTCCCTCTTTCAATCCATCAAATCCAATTGGTACTGCTAATTCATGTGGTTTTGTTGGTTTGAGTTGATTATGTTACTGTTAGATTTCTTCCTCCCCTATCAATGCTAGGGATTTTATGGTTTCCTGTGCTGCATAGGAAATATTCCTTCCCAGTTCTCCTCTGTTTATCTATTCCTCTTATGAAGTGTATTCTCTTGCTTGGGTTTTTTTTTCATATTTGTTTGTTTGTTTGTTTTCAAGGCAGGGTTTCTCTGTGCAACAACCCTGGCTGATGTAGACCAGGCTGGCCTTGAACTCACAGAAATCTGCCTGCCTCTGCCTCTCTAGTGCTGGGATTAAAGACGTGCACCACCATGTCCAGTTTTCTCTATCAATTTAAGAAGATGAGTAGTTTGACTACTATTTACTCTAAATGCTTGAAATACATCATTTTATACTTCTCTGGATTTTAGGGTGGCAACCTAAAATCCAAGCAGTGTGATATTATTCTAATATATTCATTTTTCTAATATATTCATAAGTAAATTGACATTTTCTCATAGAGATTTTAATATTATTTCTTCACTTGGTGTTTTTTATATTTTGATGATGATTTATTATGGAGTGGTTCTTTTCTGGTCATGTCTATTTGGATTGCTAAATGCTTCTTGCTTTTGGATATTCAGGTTTTTAACTAATATTTTGAGATTATAATACAATTAAATAATTTCCCCTTTTAAGATTAGGGAATTTTTGTCTATAATTTCATAGAATCAATTTTCTGTGCCTTTGTACTTCATCCCATTTCCTTCTTTTCTGTGAATTTTTAGGTTAGGGCTTTTGAATGTACCCCAGAGTTCTTCAAACTTTTGGCCATAGTCATTTATTGATTTTTCTTATTTTTTTTTACATTTACTTCTTTGTGTGGGGAGAGGGTGCATTAGATTTCTATGAAATCATCATTTAGATTTAATAATTATCAATGTATGGTCAATTTCATCTCACCTATTATTATATTATCTTGAAGAAAGAGTCCGATAGAAAATAGTTCCATTTAAAAATGTTCATTGGACACATTCATTATGTCTGATACCGTGCTGCAGAAGAACACATCCACACAAGTCTACACCATATGCTGAACACAATCCTCCATATATCTGCACTTTCCATTTCTTCCTGTCCATCCTCCTGTTCCAGGAAGTTCTGCTTCTGGATTCGTATCATATGTACACATGTGACATTTGTTTCTTAGGAATAGCTTAATTCAGTTACTATAACTACCTCCAATTGTATTTGCTTTCTTGCAAATAATATAACTTTGTTCTCTTATAGATGAACAAAAGTCTATCATAAATATCTTATATTATATTTGATATTTTCTTCATCCATTCTTTTGTTGGGCACATAGGTTGTTTCCATTACTTAGCTATTGTAAGCAGTGCTACAGTAAATATACAAATATTCCTGAGCTATGTTGACCTAGATGAATACCCAGGAGTGGAAGAACTGGGTCACTGGCAAATCTATTTTCAGTTTTTTGAGAAACCTGTGTATTGGTATCCATAGTAGCTGAACCAGTTTACATTCCCACCAGCAATGCATCATGGCTCCTTTCGTCCACACGCTTTGCGAACATGTGTTGTTTGCTTCCTTAAACACCAGTGTTCTGACTGGAGTGAGATGAAACCTTATCACAATTTTCATTTCATTCAGCAAAGGAAACAGTTCATTGAATCAAGACACAGCCTAAAGAGTGGGAGAAAATCTTTGTTAGCTCTATGTCTGTCGGATGATTACTGTCTGGAACATACAAAGAACTCAAAATAACTAAACAGCAAGAAATGAAACAACCCAATCAGGAAATGAGCTAGTAAAATGAACAGCTATTAAAAAAATCGATTACACGTGGCCAACAAGGATATGAAAAACCACACTAGCCACCAGGGAAATGAAAATTCATTTCATTTTTAATATATTAAAATTCTTCTTAGTTCAACATAGTTACCATTCAAAAAAAAATCTAGTATGAGAAGAGATAGGGACAGAGAAGGAAGGGAAAGTAGATGGAACCAAAAACAAACAAATGAACAAATCACCCCCAAAAGAAAGGATTTATGGAGGGCGGGGGCATCATTTGATTATCATTTTATTCCTATTAATGTAAACGTATATGAAGTAACAAAAGTTTGATTTTATGAACGTTTATTTGCACATTTTCCTTTAAAGAACTCTGTTCTGTCACAACTCATTCATTCATCTTGGTGTCAGTGAATTCCAGCACCTGTGGACAACAGTCAGACTCCAAGATCAGTTCATCCTTCCCGGAGGAGGGACGCTATGGCACCAGAATTTTGGGTATGTTTTCACCTAAAACAAATAAAACAGCTTTTTTTTTTTCCTCTCCTGAATTCTGGTTTTATCTGATTTATTTTGACGTTGATCAAAAGACTTCAATAAAGATAGACAAAGTGTAGGATGTGAGGGTGATCTGGAGGCGACATCTGTCACCCCATTGATTGCCAGGGTTGATTGGACTGATCTGGTTGGCTAGGCGGGTGTCCGCTTCCTCCCTCTCCGCTCCATGTGCGTCCTTCCTGAAGCTGGGCGCTCTGTCAAAGAAGAGGACAACCTTCCCTGCTAGAGGACCAGTCTTTGGTCAAGGGTGTATGAGAAGCTGCGTTCCCCTGTTACAACCTACAAACAAGTCCTCAAGATAGACAAAGTGTGACATCTACACAACAACCAACTTTCACCCATAGGAGGATGATTAAGGAGATTTTCCCCCAGCGCAGATACAGACCATGAACATTTTCTGGATCTCAGGTAACCTGAGGCTGGGGTGTTTCGCTACCCAACCTTGCGGTCTGCTGACCTCCAGAGGGAGCCCTGCAGCAACCAGAACTAGCCAGAGAACAGCCGTCACTTTGAAAGCCAGCTCAGTGGTCCTACTGAGCAGTGGCCCTACTGTGCGTGAGGGATTTCTGAACAGTGAACTCCTTTCATAAGCTAGCAGTTTGGAGTAGTACCAGTGAAGCCTTATGAACTCCTGCATAATGGTTAGTAAAGTAAAACGTTGTCCAGTAAAGCCATGTTTGAGAAATTACGAATTGCCTCATCGTGAAAAAATAGAACAACAGCAAGAGACACAATCCCCCAGCCCCCAGATATCATGAGGAGGTAACCTTATTAGGGTGTTCAATACCAGTTTCCAGATACGAAAAGGAAGTCTCAGCATCCAGCTCTGGCTTCTTTGCTTCTGCCTGTTACTCCCTTTCTGACTCTACCCGGAGTGAATGCTGCGGGCTAGGACTTACAACGAAGGCTAGAACCTTCGTTGAACCAAAGGTGTTTGGGGTTTGTTTTCCAACAGTACTGAACGGGCACACACAAGGAAACTCACGAGCAGCCTTGTCTTAGAGCCTAGAGGCGGCTGTGGAGGCTGCACTGGGAAGCCAAGGTAAGGCGCTGGGTAGGGTTTTGTGTGCTTATTTTTCTTGCAGAACTCTAAATAGTTGTTTTGGCCCCGTAACTGTTCTCGCTTGGAGCCTCGGAGCTGTTTACAGAATCCAAGAGTTGCAGTGGTACATTTCCATGAGCTCATGAGCAGCCAGCACCAGCTGTACCTTTTCCATTTCACAAGTGTCCGAGACTGTCCACGCCACTCACGCCCTGCTTCGGGCTTGTGCTTTAATGATGAAGCAGCCGAAGTCAGATGGTTAATTACCCGGCTCTTGGGGCTTTTTTACAATACCTGCTTTGGGCACTATGTTAAAGCAATCAGAAGGTCATTTCTTGCCTTCCTCTTTATGTTAATTAGCTAGTTCTCTCGGCTCCTCCCCCTGCAGCCTCTCTTAAGAACTGTACACATCCAGCTGTCACAGGGTAAACTGACCAAGCAGAAAAACTTTGGTTTAATCCTGCGGTACTTTCCCCCTTGCCTGTGACTTTCTCTGGCAGTCCTCTCTATACTTGAGGATCTGGACTCCAGATCAGAGAAGAAATCGGAAATGGCTAAAACTGGCCGAGAGAGATAGTTTCTTCGAAGGATTTTACACTGTAAAGGAGAAAGTTTCAGAACGCTTTGAAACAAAGTAAGAATGAAGTCTTGCTTCTAGCCAAACAAGTTGGCATCTTTGTAGGCAGGAGATGTAACACTGGTGAATATTTACTTCAGGATTCTTTACCAGGAGAAACTCGGGCTTGTTCTTCAAGGAGTAAATGTTTTACAGGCGAGGTGAGATCTGCATGTGCCTCTGTGTTCTTTCCAACTGACTTCTGGAGACAGTCTTAGATGACTGGCTAAGACAAAATGCCCCAGTGATCCCCGAGGCACAGCCAGATTGTGGGTACCATGTCTACCACACAAAGGAAAGACGGCAGCCACCTGTTTGCCAGTTTGTGCCCGTGCCAGCTGAAGGTGCAGGAGGACCAGCAGCAGCAAGGTGGGTCTAGTGAGCTAAGTCCTGTGTTCTCTGACTTTCTGGTCATTTGCATGTCTGGGGAAAGGGTGGACTGGTGAAGCTCCTGCGATGTTCTGATTATAAAATGCTTTTTGAACTCTGAGGAGAGGAAGAATAGTGAGGCTCGACAGTGGGTTAACACGGTCTCACTGTTGATTTGAAGGATTATCAGTAGTTAGAGGAGTTTCCAGAATACACATTCCTTGGAAACGTGCACTGAAACTTCTAGCCATTGTCAGCTGTGTAGAGCATGATCGAGTGTGTATGACTGAAAACACCCACTGGGGCAAGGCTGACTTGGCCACTGAAGGGATTTGGCAGAGAACAGTCTTGCTAGCCTGGCACTATTTCCCATATCCTGCTGCTGTAAGGGCTTTGCTTAAATCTAGCTTTGTATGGACTTTTGACTCATTCATTTGTGGAAAAGACATATTTTTGACTCTCCATTTTTTATAGTCCAAAAAGAGCTGGAACAGATAGTGTGGGATTTTACTTGACGGGCATCTAAACTTCGCACCTCATAGTTTTTCCATGAATAATCTTTAAAAGTATTTCAGATTGACTACCGAACCAGCGGATGATCGACATGAATAGGCCAACTATTTCCCCAGTCTATTGTTAAGGACACTTGTGGGAAAGGCTGGGAGGTGATGACGTCAGCACCCCCACCCCGGAGGTTAACTTCTTGGCAGCCTGGGACGGATCTAGGATACATGGCACATGAGCTCCTCATTTATTTCCCTCCAGACTCAGCTTTGGATTTCACTCTCAGAAAGAGCAGTGGCTAATGAACTGAAATCTCAAGTGAAAACCTTCAAGGTGGCATCTGTGTGCTAGCATTTGGTGACTGTCCCAAGCCACCTCACTGCAAGAATCCTGAGCCGAGCCAAGTGATCTCATACCACACAGGGCTTAATATAGCATGAATAGGAGAGGATTCCTGCAAAATCCTACAGTGCAATCATTTCAGAACATGCAACACCATCTGGGTTAAAATAAATTGTTTTGAACCAATAGCTTTCGGCAGCAGTATACATGGCTCCTGTGTTACTAGAGACCCTTAGTTTGTCATGGTTTTGTCCATATGTTTACCTCTTCTTCTAGATGTAATGTTTATAACAGAAATCAGTTAAAAATGCCCTGTAACCTACCACCTAAAGATAGGCACTAGGAATATTTTAATAGGAAGTCTAGCTTTAAAAAAATGTTTATACTTGGATTGTTATTTTGCTTGTTTTTTAAAATAAAAAGGAGACTTATTTGACACACAGTAACCTGTAAACTGCCTTTTAATTAACAGTATATGATGACCAAATTCTCATGACATTACATGCTCTATAGAGTGTTATTTTTAGTGGTCAATGTCAGACATTTTTCACTAAAATTAGCACTGTTGAATAGAAATTAATAGTTATATCTGTGCACAGATGATTATTTTCATTGGATAAATTCTTAGAGAACCCTATGTTTAAAAGATTATTGCACTTTTTAAACTTCTCTTTCTGGCCATGTGGTTTTTCCACTCTCCAATAATGAATGAAAGAGTATGATCTCAGTAACACTGGGCATTAATTTTAAAATTTGTTTCCAATTTTATAAGTAGAAAATAATACCCCACTGTTGTTTTAATTTAAGGAAGGCTGCCTTGATGGTTTCTCTGGCCTCATCCAGAGAAGCCTGGAAATATCATTATGATGACACACTTCCTGACATACCAAGAAGACTGGCAGCCTACTCCTGTTTTCTCAGCCTGAAGCTCTTTACTTGGAATGTTTTGAAAGCAATCATATTCTTCTGTGGCCAACTCTCAAAATATCTGCCCACAAAACCCATAATCCATAAAGTCGTGAGGCTTGCTAATGAAGTCCAGACTAGTCCCTGAGTGCCACAAGAAATGTCATCTGGAGGTCTGAACTGACAAGTGACACTGTTCCACGCTGGTCAGTTCCTAGAATCTGCAAGCTTCCATTTATTGCACTCTTGGGGTTTAAGGTACTTGTTCAGTGTGGTTGCAATGGTTTTTCTTAAATGCTATGTTTGTACCTGCCTAGTATGTAAAGTTCAACAAGGAGGCAGATCCACCGCCTCAGAGTCAGGCCTGGCTACAGATTGGTATGCCAGCTACTTGAGTTCATTTCTTTGGCCTCATTTCAACCAGGTTGATTTCTACCAGGTAGACTCTGATTTATTAACATGTAACTCTGTTGAAGCATGGCCAGCTTTAGTATACATTCATATTTCGAGTCCTTTATACAGTGTGAGAATGTATTTTATTTTTTTTAACTCTAGTATTTGAGTCTTTCTATCTAGTCACTCATGAAAATATACTGTTTTGGTTGACTGCAGAGATAAACATCATTTGTTCTTTGACTATTTGGCCTCTAGACAGTCAGGGCTGCCTTACTCCCATATGCTAACATATTCATCAGCCAGAAGACTTCACTGATCAGTGTCTGAAGGCTTTATGTGAGTTTAGTTATGTAGGTGTGATTGATGATGTCAGTGATCATGTGATCGAACTCAGTTACCAGCCCTTCTCTACATCTCTTGGGTAGTTCAGTCTCCGGTCATGGGCTTAGTCTTCTTGATGTGGCCAGCCCTCCTCTGAAAACTGTCTGAGGGTCTACTATAATCACTCCAGTCACATAAAAAGACACACACTATCACTCAGGAAATTCATGACTCGTGAAGTTCTGTGAAAGGAATAGGGCCAAGAACACATATATTTATTTTTTTCATATTTGGCAATTTTCTGGATGTGCTTTATTTTCAGCATACCTTATTTGGTTTCCTAAAAGTCAAGGATTGAAAGACAATCCTAAGATGCCTGTTTTCTAATGAGAAAGAGAAGGGCGGGGATTCTGATGGGAGGGGAGGTGTGGAGAAACTGAGAGGATTTGGGGAAGGGGAAAACATAAGGAGAATATATTGTATAAAAAACAATCTATTTTCAGAAAAATAAAAATATACAAAAAGGAAATACAGGCCAACACCCTCAGCTTTTAATTTACAACCAATACATTTTAATTAATACCTACCACAGAATAGACGAGTTCCAGACACTGAGAATGCAAACACGTTTTTATCCTAAGGTTGCATTCAAATGTGGGGTTTCTGAGGAATTAAATATTAAGAACTGAGCAAATATTTTTCAACTCTTTGGATAGACTCTAAACCACAAAATACATATTACATTGGATTATAGTGAATGTGCTATTTTCTTCAAATGTTTCCTGTAGTTATGTATGAATGCCCTTAATTTATTACCTAGGGGACTTATTAACTAAATGAAAGAAACTTATGTGCATGAAGAGGGACTTCAGTGGGTTCTGCATGATTGTAAATGTATAATTTCTTTTAGGTGAGGTTATCACTAAATACAGTTATGGTTCTCCAAATAGATTTGTGCTTTCCTTTGTGGTTCTAAAGCATTGATTCTACACACACAGTGTGACATTGTATGAGTGGCTAAGTCACAATGGATTCAGGCCAAAGGTGGAAGACCTACACTTGCTTCTGTTTTTGTGCAACCAAAAGGGAGCCTTGCAGAGGCTCAGATGACCTTTGTTCTAGCTTTGCAGTATCACTTGCATTTACAGCTAAGAATTGATAGAGATAAGTACTTTAGAAGAGTTTAGAATGGGAGAAGCTTTAGGCCTGAAAACTGTTTCTTGTGTTCAAGCTTATACCTAGTGTAAGAATCCTTATCTTAATAAGCTTCCCTGGTAGATGGTGGTTCTACTGGATGGCTTAATGATACAATTTCTATTTTGTAAGGTAAAAAGACTCGGAGGTGGGCTGACCATCAATATCAATATCATTAATTCTTCTGAACTTACTGCTTGTCCTAAGGATAAACTTTGAAGCAAATATATTCTTACCACAGGCTAAAAAAAGGCATGGTTGCCCAAGGCCATATTAATTACATATTTGAATGTATATTTAAGAAAATCAAATAAACAAATGTCATTTGTTTTTCTAATATTAAGAATAAAGCTTAAGGCAGTAGTCTGAATATCCTTGGCTCTCAAAAGATATTTATTTGAAAACAATAAAATCGATAATATTCTAACTAAAGAAAAACCACAAAACTTACTATTAATACCGTGAGTGTTAGAGAGGGTGTCATTAGTAATTTTTTAAAAGCAAACAAAAAGTAAAAAAACAAAATTTAACACTAATTGGAAAAATCAAAATCTTTAGAACAGAAGTGAGATTTCTGAACCTGATGATAGCAGGACATTCATAAGATGAGTAACAGTTAATGTCATTGGATAGTAGAAAACCAAAGACTTGATTCCCCAAGAACTGAAGGCACTCAGTATTACCACCTGTAGTCAATACTATGTTGAAGGTGCTAGCCAGTGTACTAAGTTTCTTTAGGAGAAATAAAAGACTTACATATTAGAAAGAATTTGAAGTGCCTTTATTTAGGGATGACCAACAGAAAAACCCCAAAGAGAATCAAGAATATCGTGTAAACACACAAAAACTAAATTTTAAAATACATAAAGTATATATACATATATATATATGTTTTAAATATTATAATATATGCACTTGCATATTAAGTCAACAAAATATGTATAAAGTCTGTTCACTTAAACACTGGCAAGAGAAGCAATAGCTCACTGAATTCTAAGAAAATATTGATCCTTGGGACCTGGAGAGACGGTAGAATGGTAAGTGTTTGCTGTGGAAATATGAGCACTGAGTTCAGACTCTAGCACCCACATACAACTTCAAGATGTATTAACTATTCTAGATTCCTTAGATTTCCTTATGAATTTTAAATTATCTTGTCAAGTTAAAAAAAGTTGGCTGGAATTGCAATGATGATGCCTTGATTCTACAGATCAGTGTGGGGAAGGCTGGTTCCTTAACGATATTGAACCCTCCAACTCATGAGTTTGGGCTCTCCCTCTCTTTCTCTCGCTCTCTCTCTCTCTCGCTCTCTCCGTGTGTGTGTGTGTGTGTGTGTG